CCCAGGCATCCTGCTCTCTAATTTCCAGTCTTTTTCATTGTCAGCTACTGACCATTTGTCACTAGGCTATTTGTCACTGCCATGACACTTAAAGAGCATGACCAGGTACAATCCTCAAACCACAGTAAATTGGGAAGATTATTTTCACATTTTCTTTCAAGGCTATTTATGAATGGAGGGTAGCAGTTGGTAGTAACTTTCCATTTTTTATTTATACTCAAACACAGAGGTCATCCATTTCTAAATAAAACTCAGGCCTTTTCTCCTTCTTCAGTTAATTGCATACCCGTTGCTATTGAGTCAATGCTAAGTCATATCAACGCTATAGGACAGAATGGTGGTGGTGGGGTCAGAACCGACTCATAGCAACCCTGCACAGGATCTCCGACGCTGTAAATCTTTATGGGAGCAGAAAGCCTCATCTTTCTCCCGCAGAGCAGCTGGTAATTTCGAACTGATGACCTTGCGGTTCGCAGCCCAATTCGTAACCACTACTCTACCAGAGCTTCTTATAGGACAGAATAGAACTGCCCAATAGGGTTTCCAAGGCTGTAATTTTAACTGATGCTGACTGCTACAATTTTTTCCCACCAACAACTGGTGGGCTCAAGCAGTCGAATACTTCACCATTACATCACTAGGAATAATTGCATGGGATCCCCAATAGCCATAGTGTCAGTGATCTGGGCACCTACTTAAATGTTTTACACATGTCCTTTGGCCCTACCTGGCCTTGATGCTGGATTTCTATTTTACCATGGATTGCTGCTGGACTCACTTGACTTTGAGACTTGATAGGTACAATTATACTCATCTCATGAGAAAAACCTGATCACTTGGTGCCCTCTGGTTAAGTTCTGTCTTCCAGGGCTCAGATGCATGGCCAGACCTAATTTTCCAAAGCTGTGTAATTCTCTACTGTATATGCATGTCATGCTCCAGAACTACAGGGTTTGCTTTGTAGTTTTCTTTCTGTGTTTATAAAGTCTACAGTGCATCTTTTTGTACTATTGACTCCTTCAATCCCAATTGAGTCTATCAGATCATTTATCCCAAGTGGTGGGACTGTCTTTTCCCCAGCCTGAACCTCCTGCAGAGACCTTTTCTGCCCTAGTCCCCACTGAAAGTTTATAGCCTTTCATGTCACCTAGCATAGGGACTGGGGCATTATTCCTATGTTGTTGGAATGTGTTGCCTCCAGTTTTAAGAGGGCTGCTAGGCATTGCGCTTTCTTCTTTGTGGATGCAAGGTGCCACAATTTTCCTTTTATTTTTGAGGAGGATAAGCTTAGTATTTTCTTGAACATTCGGCCTCCCAAAACTATTCAAGTGACAGGTCCCTTAATCTTCATAGGGTTTATCTTTTCTTTGGTGACATGTGTCTTATGAGGTTTTTAGCATGCTCATCTTAACCATTTATTCAACCATTTCAGGATGTAGCATCAATGTACTGAATCAATGAATTGTTTTGTGCGATGTCCTGATATCTTTGGGATATATTATGATAAAGAGTAAGAGAGGCCAGAGATTCACTGTGCAATAGACTATCTCAATTGCTCATATGCAAATTCTGGCTGAAACTGAGCAAATTAACACAAGCCAAAATACGACCCTGATCACATCCCACCTTAATTTAGAGACCATCTCCAGAACAGATTTTTGAACATTGAACACTAGTGACCAAAGACCAGAGGAATTGTGGGATGATATCAGGAACATCGCACATTAAGAAAGCAAAAGGTCATTACAGTGAATATCAGAAAAGACTCTGAAACATGCTTTTAAATATAGAGTAGCTAAAGGGAATGGCAGAAATTATGAAGTAAAGGAACTGAACAGAAAATTTCAAAGGGCAATTTGAGAAGGCATAGTAAAGCATTAGAGTAAGATGTGTAGAATGTCCTAGAGTTAGAAAACCTAAAGGGAAGAACAGCATTTCTCAAGCTGAAAGAACTGAAGACAAAATTCAAGCCTTGATTTGCAATATTGAAGAATTCTATGGGAAAAATAGTGAATGATGCAGGATACATCAAAAGAAGATGGAAGGAATATACAGAATCATTGTACCAAAAAGAATTAGTTGTTACTCAACCATTTCAGAATGTAGCATATGATTAGGAGTACATGATATTGAAAGAAGTCCAAGCTGTACTGAAGGCACTGGGAAATACAAGGCTCCAGGAATTGATGGTCTACACATTGAAATGCTGGAAATACTTACTAGTCTATGCTAAGAAATTTGGAAGACAACTGCCTAACCCACCTACTGGAAGAGATCATATTTGTGCCCATTTCAAAGAAAGGCTTCCTTATAGTATGTTGAAATTACAGAACAGTCTCATTGATGGAATCCTGGTGTGGTGCGGCAGGATAATGCACTGGACCACAAGGTCAATTTGAACCAAAAGACCAGTTGTTAAAACTCACAAGCCACTCCTCGGAAACCCTACACAGGGTCACCATGAGTCAGAACCGATTTGACAGCACTTAACAACATCATTGATATCACATGCAAGTATAATTTTACTGAGATAATTAAAAAGTTGTTGCTGCAACATATTGACAGGAAGCTGCCAGAATTTCAACCAAATTCAGAAGCCCCCTGGCTTTAAGATATAAGATATAAGGTTGACAGTTGGAACCCACCAGCAGATCTGCAGGAGAAAGATGTTGCAGTCAGCTCACTTAAGAGGTTACAGCCTAGGTAACCTTATCTGGCAGTTCTGCTTTGTCATGTAGGGTTACTATCGTTTCAACTTGATGACAGTGTTTTTATGTTTTGTTTTTGAATATTTTGTATATATGAGGAACTCTGCTCATGCAGTGATTAAAGTGCTCAGCTGCTAGCCAAAAGATCAGTGGTTTGAACCCACCAGCCACTCTGCAGGAGAAGATGTGATATGGTCTCCTTTTGTAATGATTTACAGTTGTGGAAACCATATGGGTCAGTTTTAATCTGTCCTATAGGATCATTATGAGTTAGAATGGACTCAACAGCATTGAGTTTGGTTTTATATGTGTATGTGTATTATATATGTAGACTCCTGATGTCAGGCTATAGGTTAAGCACTGGAATATGAACCACAAGGTCAGCGGTTCAAAACCACCAGCTGCTCCTTGTAAACTCTATGCAGGGTCGCTATGAGTCAGAACTGATTTGACAGCACTTACCAATAGGTGGGACGCATATGTTCCAAAGAGTCTCTTGTCCTGGGATTGCTGGGCACTTGGAAATAGCAACAGCATTATATATGTACATATGTAATATACATATATATTTATCTATCTAATTCTTTTCTTTAAGCTATGGTATCTTTCTTTAGACCCAGCAAGATAAATACAATAAACACTGTTTTTTGCATCAGTAAGTGTTGGTTGAAATCTTAATTATTCTATATTTATTTGATCATGTGTAAAAAATTATAATATCCATGAAATTAGGGATTTTGTCCACTGTGTTCACTGCTGTATTTGTTATGTGACTACTTTGTATTTAAGTTGAAGGACCAATGCAACTATTAAGTTGAAATTTTTTAAATGTCTTTTCCATTTTTATAATTCCATATTTTATCTAAGTTAACAGCGGGTAATATGGATCCTGAAGATGTCTTTTCTTATTGTAATGTAATACTTTTATATTCTGTATTTGATATAATTAGTGGTCTAATGTTAAAATGAGTTATTGTTTTATCATGATTTATTACAGGTCATCTATAAAGGAGATGATGTTCAGCACATATACAGTGGTGCACTGAATAGAAAGCAAATTTTGAAAGTATTTATATTTAGGAATTTATGATTAAATTTTTGTCAGAGTATCATAGCAATTTTTTTTTTTTTTAAATTTCTAGAGGACCACAGACCTATACCCTGATATATTTCCTGAAAACAAGCGATCACAGACGTTTTCATAAGACTTTAGTGTCTGTATGCACAGAATACATTTTCAAGGTTCTCCAAGAATGCACAGACTCCTGGAACATCTTTAAAATTAAGGAATGTCAGGACTCAGAGAGAGAGATGGGATACTGAGTAGCCAACACCAGGAGTGTGTAAGGATAGACCCTCTTGTGACAAGAGAAAATAAAGTGTTGGCTTGTTTGGTAAGATAATGGAGAGTAACAACGGCAGGCAGTAGGTTGCTATTGGCTGATATGCTGGATGAAAAAAGCCAGTGGAACCCCTATGAATTTTATCCTGTTACTTCTCTGAATAATTTTACCTTGTTGTTGTTAAATGCCCTCGAGTTGATTCCAACCCATAGCAACCCTGTATAGGGTTTCCAAGGACCTTAGGGTCAGAGAAAAAGAGGAAGACCCCCAGCGAGATGGATTGGCAGTATGGTATCATCAGTGGGCTCAAGCATAACAGCAATTGTGAGGTTGGCCCAGGACCGTGCAGTGTTTCATTCTGTTGTGCATAGGGTTGCTATGAGTCAGTACCAATTCGATGGCACCTAACAACAACAACAACATGGTTTGCAGACTTGTCATTTTAGGTAAACTGAGGTAGGGTACTACTAATGACAATATTCCCATGCAGACCACTTCTTAATGTGTATAAATTTTTTTAAAGATTATCTAATAAAGCAACTGGGGGAGGACCCCACTTAATGCCAATCTTAGACAGAAAGAAAGATGCTGCGTACTAGGTGATTATATTTCCAGTCCTTCATTTTGCTCTCTTCTTTGAAGAACTGTTGAAGAAGAACAGAAGAAAATCGATTTTGAGGAAATTAAATATTCTTATGAAACAGAATGATGGTTTTTAAAACAAGGGGAAAGTGGGTTAAATGTATGCTAATTACGAGCTGTGCCTTGTTCTGCTCGCTGACTCCAGGTCTGTGCCTTTCTCGCTGTTCTTTCTCTGCTGCCCGCAATTTTAAATATTTTAAAGAGCAGATGTGCCCTGGTTATGGATTCTGTGTAAATGTTGATGCGCGCTGTATACAGAATGTGGGCCGCGTACCATGCTCTGTTGACATTATCCTCTATTGCTTAGCTTCAGACAGTAAAGTCCTGACATGTGCGGCTGTGTGGAGGATGCCGAAGGAATTGGAATCAGGCAGTCATGAATCCCCTGATGATTCATCAAGCACCACGCAGACCCTGGAGCTACTCTGTTACCTTGACAACACAGCCCATGGCAACATGGCCTGGTAGGATTCTGCATATTTTATACGCCTAGAATAAGCCTGAAGGTTAGACGGGTGCTCGAGTTTGTACAAAATTTATATTGCAGAAGCTACATTATACACTTTAAAAAACTTCTTTCTTTTAAAGAAGGGTACAAATTGATATTTTTTTTCCCTTCGTCCCAGTTGTTTTCTAGATTAGCAGCATGGGAATCCTATCCTAGACGTAGTAGGAGAGTCTGTGTCCTGCTCGGTTTCCTTTCATCTACAGGAAGTGTTGTACACAGTGCCCTGACACAATAAGAACACAAGTCAATCACTGTATAACACTTAATTTCTAGATGGCTTTTTAGCTTTGAAAATAGACTTTCATTCAGAAAATTTACACATAATTTATTTTTACTCATGACTTTAAGTTGAAGGCTTATAGTTTCTTTTTTCTATGAACTAAATGTGAATACACTATGTGCCTACTCATGGCATATCCCCAAGTACTCCATGTCTTCATTCTCATGTTTATCCCCCCCTCCCCCGGATCTGTCATATTGAGTATCAGAGGACTGAGATGTAAAACTCCTTCACTATGTGTTCCCTGGCCAATTGCTGTATAAATGTTGTGATAAAAGATTTTACTGTATCCGTCTACCAGGCAGCTACCTGGTAAGCATTAAGAGGCCCTCCTCAGAATACTGTTTCACCTTATAGCTGAAATAATTGAAGTCTAGGTAAATTTAGAAGTCCTGGTGTGGCGCTGTGGGTTAAAGCACTAGACTGCAAAGTCAGTTTGAACTGCAAGGTTGGCAGTTCAAGCTCACCAACTACTCTTTGGAAACTCTATACAGGGTCTCTATGGGTCGAAACCGAATCAATGACACTTAACAACAGCAACAAGGTAAGTTTAGGATTCCTGGTATGACACTGTAAGATCAGCAATTGGCTTCAAACTACAAGGTCAGCATTTCAAACCTACAGCAGCTGCTCCTTGGAAGCCCTATACGGGGTCACTATGAGTCAGAGCCAATTCAACGACACTTAACAGCAACAACAGGTATATTTAAGAAGCCATGTTTTCTAAAACGGACTGTGGGAACTCAACATTGCTATGGGTGTTTAGGAATATGAAAACGTTTGGGGAGGTGTGTGTGTGTATCTATGAGAAAGAGATCATTATCCTCTGCAAGGTTTAGTCTGCCCTAGTTAACTTTACCAATTCAGTGTAATTCAGCAGATATTTAGTAAGCACCTGCTGTACCATGCCAGACTCTAAGGATACAAGGTAAATAAGTCAGGCTTATGTGGGGAGACCAGTAATGTAGAATAGGCTGTGATATATACCAACATCATATGAACTGTGTGTTATGGGCCCCAGGTGAAGGAGTAGTTAACTTTTACAAGGAGGAGTTGAAAAGGGATTCACTTTGGACTTGGAACTTAAGGAGTGATTCAGGTTTCCATCTTTATAATTTTGATGTTGAAACAGTAAAAGAGAACAATGCTTCAGATAGAACATGAACTTCTGGTGACTCCTGGAACGCATTATGTATTGTTGTTGTTAAGTGCTATCAAGTAGGTGCCAATACATAGCAACCTTGTACAGGGTTCCAAGGAGTGGCTGGTGAGTTTGAGCTGCCAGCCTTGTGGTTCTCAGTCCATGCTGATCCTGATGTATAGTCTGTGATAAATTTTCTTTTATAATTAGTATGCTACGACCATGTTAGTAATCATTTCTCTTTACAGAAGTATATTGGATATTAAAGTCATACCCAGTCTTGAAGGCACATGAGAAGCTGTCAGGCCCCAAGAGATATTACCTAGACTACAAGCTGACTTCACAAAGTTCATGGAAAAATGAAGTGAAAAAATAATGGAAGTTTTCCACAAAGTTTTAAGCCCCGTTGTATATCATTTTACTGCCGAAATTCAGGATGATTCTGACTTTTGTTGTCACCATCTATGTGCAAATTAAACATCAACATTAAGATTTTCACATTTCAAACAATAACCACATTTTCCAGCAAACAAATGTGAGTGTGTGTGTTTTTGTGTGCCTGAATGTAAGCATGTCTTTTTTCCAGTAGATATCTGGATCTCAAGAAGGAGAGATGAATAAGACATAGTCCAGGTTAGCAGTCAGTTTGGTAAGGTTAGCATATACAGTGTTGTGAAGCAAGCGCAAAGCTAGAGGTGAGCTCAGAGAACCGAGTTTGGTCCTCCCGTGGGATCAGGAGATAAATAAGGAGGGAGGGACTGTCAGACTATTTCCCCCAACTTCCCATATTGGTTCAATATTCTATAAACTATGTTGTTGTTAAGTGCCTTCAAGTCGTTTCCGACCCATTGTTGTTGTTGTCAGGTGCCATCGAGTCAGAACCGACTCATAACGACCCCATGCACAGCAGAACAAAACAATGTCCTATCCTGGGCCAGCCTCACTACCACTGCCACACTTGATGCCATCAATGATGCCACCTGGCTGACCCATCTCTTTGGGGGTCTTCCTCTTTTTCTCTGACCCTCCACCCTACCCAGCATGACATCCTTCTCCAGCAACTGTTCTCTCTGGACAATGTGTCCAAAGTAGGAGAGACGAAGCTTAGCGACCCTATATATAGGGTTTCTAAGGAGCAGCTGGTGAGCTTGAACCGCCAACCTTGCAGTTCAAACAGCTTTGCAGTCTGGCACATTAACCCACAGCGCCACACCAGGACTCAGCATGCCACCTATCCATGTGTATGTTTTGTTGTTGAGATGAATATTAGTTTAATATGCTAACCATATTGAAAGGAGTTCTGGTAGAATAGTGGTTACAAGTCGGGCTGCTAACTTCAAGGTCAGCAGTTCGAAACTAGCAGCTGTTCTGCGGGAGAAAGATAAGTCTTTCTGCTCCTGTAAGGATTTACAGCCCCGGAAACCCTAATCAGGGTTGCTATTAGTTAGAACCAACTCCACAGCACATAACCACCAACCCTGTTGAGTGATGCAGAAAGCATCAAAAGAGGATGGAAAGAATACACATACCACTGTACCAAAAAGAAATGGTCGATGTTCAAGAATTTCAAGAGGTAGCATGTGATCAAGAGCCTGTGATAGTGAAAGCAGAAGTCCAAGGCCACTGAAGGCATTGGCAAGGAGCAAAGCTTCAGGAATTGATGGAATACTAATTGAAATACTTCAACAAACCATTTCAGTACTGTCGACACACACTCATCTATGCCAAGAAATTTGGACGACAGCCACCTGGCCAGCTGATTAGGAGAGAGCCATATATGTGCCCATTCCGAAGAGAGGTGACCCAACAGAATGTGGATATTATCAGAAAATATCATTAATATCACATGTCAGTAAAATTTTTCTAAAGGTAATTCAAAAGGGCTGCAAGAATACATGGACAGGTAACTGCCAGAAACTCAAGCTGGATTCAGAAGGGGATGTGGAAAGAGGGATATCATTGCTGATGTCAGGTGGATCTTGGCTGAAAGCAGAGAATAGAAAGAATGCCTGTGCTTTATATACTATTGCAGAGGCTTTCAACTGTGTGGATCATGACAAGCTATGGATAACATTGCAAGAATGGGTATTCCAGAACACTTGATTGTGCATATGAGGAACCTGTACATAGACCAAGAGGCAGTGATTTGAACAGAACTTGGGGATACTAAATGGCTTAAATTCAGGAAAAGTGTGTGCCAGGGTTGCATTCTTTAAGCATACTTACTCAGTCTATATGCTGAGCAAATAATCTGAGAAGCTAGATTATATGAAGGAAAGCCTGGTATCAGAATTGGAGGAAGACTCATTAACTACCTATGGTATGCAAAGGATACTACCTTGCTTACTGAAAGTGAAAAGGACTTAAAATCCTGATTTATGAAGATCAAAGACCACAGCCTTGCGAATGGATTGCATCTCAATGAAAAGAAAGTCTTCACCACTTGGCAAGTACATAGCATGATAAATGGAACAAAGGTTGAAGTTGTCAAAGACTTTGTTTTGCTTGGATTACTACCAACACTCATGAAGACAACAGCCAATAAATCAAACGACATGTTACATTGGGCACATCTGCTGCTGAAGACCTCTTTAAAGTGTTCAAGAGCTAGGATGTCAGTTTGATGACTAGGGTGCACCTGACCCAAGCCATGGTATTTTCAATCACCACATATGCATGTGGAAGTTGGACAGTGAATAAGGGAGACCTTAGAGGAATTGATGCATTTGAGTTATGGTGTTGGAGAAGAACATTAAAAGTACCATGGACTGCCAGATCAGTAAACGAATCTGTTTGGGAACAAGCACAGCCAGAATGCTCCTTCAAGGCCAGATGGTGAGACTTTGTCTCTCCTACTATGGAACTGTTATCAGTAGGGACCTGGAGAAGGGCATAATACTTGGTAAAGTGGAGGCTCAGCACAAAAGAGGAAGACCTTTAAGAATTTGGATTGGCACCGTGGCAACAGCCTTGGGCTCAAGTGTAACAATTGTGAGGATGTTTTGTTCTGTTGTGCATATGGTCACTATGAGTAGGAACTGACTCGGTGGCAACTAGCAATGACATTAAATAAGAGATATTTCTGTCTTCCAGTGACTGGGAATTAAGCAGAAGTACACACTTTGGCACACCCTTGTATTGTCTTTACCTCCTGTTAATGAAAGCAGCAAAGGCTTAGGAAGGAGATTATAAAAGGTTTTATGATAAAGTACATTCAATTTAAACATTAATCAGATATGTTCCAAAGCTAGGCTGCTTAAGGAGCAGAATGAGCATTGGACTGGGAAACACAAAACCTGATTTTTTTTCTTTTTCCCTTGCTCTTATGTAGTGATAGAAACTCAGAAAATTCACTCATTTCACTAGACCAGTTTCTTTATGTGAAAAATGGAGATACTGTTTCACAATTATTGTTTTATCTACTACATGATGTAGGGTGTGTGTGGTATATATTTGTTAAGATTAATTATGAAAGTAAGAAAATGGAAGGTTTGGCATAATGTTCCCACCGATCCCTTTTAACCCTAATTTTCTA